AAAGTTTACAAAGACTGAAAGAAAGCTACTTGCAAAGGCATATGCCCAAGGGCTCTTTCCCTACATCTCCGCTAAGCTTTTGAGACATGCACTGCCAGCACCACGCCCCATCAGCTCACTGCCAGGATGGCGGCTTCTGCCACTTCTCAGGTCCCTCATAGTTTCTTTAGACTCTCCCCCCCCACCTCATGCAATTGATGCTGACTGATTGGGTAGGAGGGTTGCCTATCTCTAGTTCCCTGGGAGGACATGCCTATCCAACACTCCACCCCTTCCTATGGCTCTCACAGTCTTTCCACCAATCTTCTACAAGAATCCCTGGGCCTGGGAACAGGTGACAGATGAAGGATGATCTTTCTTTGATTGTGGCAAGATACTTAACCCCTGGGCCTCCCCATCATCCCTTTTCAAGATGTCCTTGTCGATCGATTTCAGTGGTGTCTCCCCTACTATAAAGTCAAATGACAAGAAGTAGGCACATCTAAAACGAACATAGGTGTAAATACACATGCTTAGAAGATACTATAGGAGGTGTACCATACTTACCTAACATAATACTTGCAGTGCCTTCCCCACTGGGGCCTACAGTGTTCCCTGGCACAGGGGGTTGGCCTGGTCTACAGCACCAGATGTGTGTTCCAACCCTAGGCGTGGGTCTTCTCTAATTAGAAATGTGTCAGTTTTATGTATGTTAGTTGAGCCATTATTGCACCAGCAGGCAATGCTTGGCATGTCAATGCTGTGCAGCACGTGGGGGTCCATCATTGAGTAGAATTATAGGCAATCATTCTTCCCTAACCGTCTGCATAGTGCCTCTGGCACTATGAAAGCCATCCGCCTAGTGGCTTGGAGTCTTCAGCTTAGTCTTGGCTCTGTCTCTCCTTTGCCCATACTCACATCATGAAGTGTCTTCAGCAACATTACCGTCATTTTTTGGTGTACAACTGATATTAGTGACAATGGCCTTTGTTAGTTTGAGGACCTCTAGGATCTCTGTGGCAAACAGCTCTTGGGGAGGGGGCAACCTACCCTGGTACTGTGATTTTTACTTAACAATTACAATTTGGGACCCTTTATTCAAAAGCTGTGGAAATAGCTTGTGTTATTTTGGGAGTCTCGGACCAACCACTTGAAGGGAGGTTTTTTT